GGAGCGGCCGAGCATTTGGCCGCACAGTTAGAGACACAGCCCTCAAGTCCTGCGCAGGCGGCGTGAGCGGGCCTGACGGCGCCTGGCGCCGCTTCCCCACCGGTCCTCGCGACGCCGAGCTGCTGTCTCTACTTCGCATTTTTCCCTCTCCGACTTAAGAACATGAATTTGGGCGTCAGGCAGCCTTGGGGCTGCACCCAGGTTCTGTCACGTCCCTGCCTGGCCACTGGCCGGTTACTTTCCCCTCCACCCCTGCCCCCTAAGCCTCAGTTTCCTTGTTTCAGGAGCAAGGACAGCAGCACAGGGCTGCCGGGGCGGCTCCTGCACGACCCAGATGCCGTTCCGGCGGGGAGCTGCGCACGTGCTGACACTCAGGAAGCACCGGCCTTCCTGCCCGGCTTTCTCCCTCGTGCTTTAAGCCCCTGGCGAGTTTCTTCCGTGTAATAATCTGAAACGCAAGGAGATGGGCATTTGCCCGCCCCACCTTCTCCCGGGTCACTGCAGCCACCGTGGGAGGGACCTCGTGGCCACTGGCCTCTGGCGTGCGGCGCGTCTGCCCGGCACCTCTCGGAGCCAAAAGCTGGCTCCCGGCCCGTCAGCCCCGCGCACAGCTGCCATGCGTCCAATTCAGTCCAGATAGTAATCAGTTTTTTGTTACTTTCCACGGGGATGCGGACGCTGATTACAGGGCCTGGTAACTTCAGTAATAAATACAACCCATGGCAGAAAATCACCTTTCTTCTTACGGGCGGCGGCTGAAGCCAGTGCGATGAGGAGCAAATTGCTTTTGGAGATGAAGCAGCTGCCTGATGCTGAGAATTCACAGCTACCCGCTCCCCACCGTGTCACAGAGCCTTTCCGCCCAGAAACCGGAGATCCTCTCTGTCTGTGTGTCCACAGACGGCCTCCCCCAGGCCCCGAGACAGGGCCAACCGCAGTGTAAAGACGGAGCAAATTCCATGCACTCTGAACTACCTGGTCCAGGGCAGGGCCTCGGTGTCCGAGCCCCCCAGCTCCCTCACCACTAACGCTCCAGCGTCCAGAGCAGATGTGGGCCTGAAAGGCGGGGAGACCAGGGGCTGGGCAAACGGACAGGAAGTCAGTGGGGTCATCGGGCCTGAGTTTAGACGCAAGCAGGTGACAGAATTCACGCTCCTATTGGGACGGACGGTTTCATTCTCGTCAAATTTGTTCAGGGGAGTGGGTTGGGGGTCTTCCACTCCAGAACTGGCTGAACTTGAGGAGGAGAGAACAGATTTGAAGAGATGGGGATTCTGCGGGGCTGAACCCCACGCCAGCCCCTCTGTGACACTGGCCTGACCTCGGCACTCATCACACCTCCCCCGAGGGTCCTCTCATATCTCTTCCAGGCCCCCGAGCTCAGGGCCAGCACAGGGCCATGGCGCCAAAAGCCTGAAGTCACAGGACCGCCCCAGTAACAGCTGGTCCTCAAGGATGCCCTGTGCTCAGAGACACCTGGAACCACACACCCAAGGTGCCGGTGTTGGGGTTGTCAGGTCGTTGAGGAAGGCCACACCTGGGGCCAGTGGACTGACGAGCAGAGACCCACTTCACTCCTGAGATTACCCGAACCCCTCAACACGCCTTTGCTGAACCCCGGATACAGGGCTCCTCTCCCGCTGTGGCCTGGGCGAGTGGCCCCTCTGCCCACCTGCTCCTCCCCCGCTCACCCAGCTGTGAGCTCGGGGCCCCACGGCACCTCTTCTCCCGCTGCCTCAGCTCCGCGGGAAGAGCCCCCCCACCGGCCCCACAGCCTGGGTTCAGGCAGCCCTCGAGCCTCTGAAACAGCTACGGCAGAGCCTCAGGCCACGCTGCTCAGCACAGCGGCCTGGGAGCCGGGCAGCCAGGCTCAGACTCAGCCGCGCCAGCCCAGCTGACTGAGTTCCACCCGAGCAGCGGGCGTCCGAGAGCTGCGTGGGGCAGGACAGCTGGAGAGGGCGGAGCGGGGCTTTGAGGCGGGGAGACATCTTCAAGCAGCACCTGGCTTCATCCTCCTCGTTTTCAAAAGGTGGAAGCCGAGGCCGAAGCTAAGAGCTGTTCCCAAGGTCACCAGTCAGCGGCTGGTGAGCCTGGGGAGGGTAAGGGCTGTGGGGTCCAAGGTCGTCGCCCCAGAGCTTCCCGCCCCTTTCACACCATTGCACACAGAGCTGCTTCTCTCTGAAGGGAGAGTGAGACGGGCTGGGGTGGGCGGGGCTCAGGCAGCCCCAGCACCGCTCCCCTGCCCCCCACCCAAGACAGGGAGATAACCCCCTCCTGGTGCCCAGCTGGGAAGCTCCGGACCACGTTTCTCAAGGAGCTCGGAACACCAGCCTTTTATTGAAAACCACAGAACAAGACTCAGGAAAGCATCTTTCTGTCTGGGGACAGAGTTCATCTTGGCCCACGAGCCTGGCGCGTAGTAGGCCATCGATCACTAGTTGGCATTTGACTGAGCAGCTCATCGTAAGCGAGCTGTCGGGAGAACAGATGGCCTGGCCATGTGCTGTCCCCCCGCTCCGTCTGCCTGAATCCTTCAAACAGCGCTTGTGAAGCGCAGGTAGAGCCCGCACGCTGCTGACTTGTTCCCATTTCCACGCGTGCTAATCCATAAACACGGTGGCCCTGCCCTGGACCTTATGTCCACGTCCCGGGAGGGGCCCTAAGATGGAGGGCGTGGCTGTGGGAACAAGGAGCCTGAAGTGGCAGAGGAAGGCGTGAAGGGAGACGGCCCACACGGCTCGGGCGTCTGCTCTTTTCCTGAAGCCCAGAGGTGGTTTGTTCCCTCGCACATGTGGGTAGCATTACTCCTGGCACCACGCCACATGGCTTCTCCCTTTGGGGTCAGGAAAGCAAGATTCTCGGGTAGGGCTGTCCCCAAGTGGCTCTCAGATCAGAGCAGCCCAGCCCAGCGCCCCCACACGCTCCCAGTCCCGGTCCCAGCCTCAGAGGTCACTGCTGAAGGAGGGAGGCACCTGGCCCAACCCCAGAGCAGCCCACGGGGGCCAGGGCAGCTGGGCTCCCTGAGGCTGGTGGCCGGGCCAGCCGCGCTCTGACTCCTTCACTGACTCGAAATGGTTGGGGAGGTTTTCACCAGTTGAGCCTTTGTTCTAAAATCCCACCACGATTAAGGGTCACAGGCCTCCAGCAGAGGATTCTGAAGGTATAGCCTCAGAGGCAGGCCCAGGGGGCGGGCTGTGCCTCCCGGCTGTGTGGAGGGAGGCACCCCCGAGAGCTCTCACAGCTCGCTTCAGAAAGAGGAGCCCTCCAAAGGCAGCAGCACCATTTTCCTTCCTGCCCCCCACCCCCACCCCGGTGGGTTCTGGGCACTGACCAGGGTCCTGAAAAGGACGGCCGGGCTACAGATGCGCGTGCAGGGGCTGGCCACACTCACAGGGCCATCAGGGTGGCCAGGTGAACCCTCTCACCCTCGAGACAAGGCTTTCAACAGAAGGTTCAACTTTTGAGCCAAAAGTTTCTTCCAAGAACAGGAGATCTTTAAAAAGATCGAGAGGAGAAGGTCTGGAGGGAAAGCACCTTGTGGGCTGGGAACAGAGGCCCAGGGAGCCTGGTGGAGAGGAGGCCAGAAGGGCTTCTTGCCCAAGATGTCTAACAAGGCACACGCCACCTGGCTCCTCTCTGCCGTGTGCACCCGTGTCTGCGGGTGTGAGCATGTGGGAGGGTGTGTGTGAGTGTGTGCACATGCATGCGTACAACTGTCCATCCACAGGGCACAAGCCCACCCCTTGGCCCGGCCTTCCCCGCAGCCAAGAATGCTTCTCTCCTGAAGGCGGTGCAGAACCTCTCCAGGGGGCCTGGCTGACTGCGTGGTCCCAGGGCAGGGGTCTCTGAGGCAGGTGGGATGACAAACCCTCCAGGTGCCGGGGCTGGGGCTGCACTTCCCGGCAGAGCCAGGGAGCCCAAAGGGCTTCAAGGCAAAGCCAGGGAAGCTTATTCCAGAGCCTTCTCTCCTGTGAGCCACCTCACACCCTCTCTTCTCTCTTTTGTTTCCTCTTTTATTCTAAGAAGGAGAGAGGCAGGGACAGGGTAGGGGGACATGGAAAGAGGGTCGGGGCAGCTGGGACTTGAGGCCAAGATGCTGGCAGCCCATCCATCTCCTGGACTTGCAGTTGCTAACAGCCAGCATCTCCCAGCTCAGACCGTGGCACAGTGGCACCCTGGAAAGGGCGTTTTAATGTCACTGAGCAGCCTGACTCCCGAAGCTGGCAGGCTCTTCTTCCCAGCACCCTGGTGCCAAAGCAACACCCCCAGCCCAGCGCTCCCAGGCAGCCCTTCTCCTCCCAGACCTGCCAGCTCTGAAATGCATTTTTAAAATGGAGAATACCAGCCGGAGACAGGCTCTCTATTGATACATTGCTCAGGGAAGGCAAGCCCACTTAAAATGCCCAGCGGCCCCCGCACACGCTTGCCACTCACACTTCACGCCGCGCATGTGGCCAAAACCCCCACCCTCCACACTGAGTCTACAATGCACCCAGCCCCAGATGTGCCTCCTGCCCTCCTGGTCTGGTCGCCAAGACACCGTGCCCACCTCCTGCCTGGGGAGCCCCAAGGGCAGCATTATGGCCAAAGGCAGGGGCTGAGGGAGCTCCAGAAACGGGTTGGGGTGGGAGTTAGGTCAGTCCCCCCGCTCTGAAAACGCTGGGGGACCTGGATATCCTGCTCCACCTTCCCCCCAGATGACAATAGCAGCCAAATGCCCCTCCCCATGCTGCCCTTTGAACTTCTCAGCAGGGAGTGGGTAGCCAGGGAGTCTGGGAGGGAGGGGTCAGGGCTGAGGGTCCTGGGGCACCCGGCACCAGTCTGGGGTCAGCCTGCACCCCTTGCTCCACCCCAGGTACGCCGGCACTCAGGCCGTCTCCCCAATCCCCCCGCTGGGCGCCTGGCTGCGCGGAGCTGCTTCCCGACTTTGCCGGCTCCCCCAGGCCGGGCCGGGCGGGCGCCTCGCACGCAGGGAGGAAAATGGCGTTGGATGCACGTACTTGGGTGAGTTCCGTGCCCATCAGGATGAGGAAGAGGAGGCTGAGGAGCTTCCGGGCCGG